TTTCTTTTTGCATGTTTCACTGCTTGTCCTCCTTTCTTTCTGTCCTGCATCCTCTACTCTTTGTTTTCTTGCCTTCTTCTTTCCTCTCTTCCTTCCTTCCATCTCCTATTTTCTGGCTGTTCTGTCACTCATACGTAGATTTCCAATGTACATTTTCTTTCCTTTTTTCATTTAACATTCAACTGTGTCACTTTTATCATTCTCCTTTTTTGTTCTTTCCTTCTACATGTGTTCCTACACACATTTAACTCTGAACCTAGCTACTGCATACTTCCTCTCTCTTCTTTCACCCTTTCCTCTTCTCTCCTCTGTTACGTGTCTATTGTGATATGGTAAAATATTAGTTTGTTAAGATCAGAATAAGGATGGGTAAGAGCAAAATTTCATCATCCATCAGGAGGTAGTACTAAAATCAAGTACCAGGAACATTTGATCATGTAGCTGGTGGTAAAACCTTAAGAGACTCTAGCTGCAGACAAGGTTTCAAACTTGTGACCTCAAAGGGAAGTCAGTATTAGCTGCTGATATCTTTGGCAGGTGTACGGTTAAAGTTAGTTGGCCCTAACCATAAGCCAACTATTACAAACAGCTGGCTTACAATCTTCTTCTTCTTCTACTGTCATAAACCCATGGTTTATGACCTGATCAATTACAGTAACTCAGTCTCATCTGAGACCATCCTCCACCATGCATTTGTGTTCCTCTTCTTCACCCGGTCACTCTGTCGGTTGTTTACTGAGACAAAATATTTCCATGCACTTGCCCATTTACATTTATGGCATGAAACCGGAAAGCAGAATTACTTGGTTTTATGTAAATTTAGCAGAAAATTGTTATAACTCTTTTAAAGAAAACTTTGAACCCAAATTTAACAGTTTTTACAATTGTATATAAATATGAAAAACTGAGTGTGGAACTAAGTTTGGTAGTGGTTGAGCTTAAGTAAAAAAAATAAAAAAAAATAAAAAAAACAGGTGATGAATTTTGAAAAATTAGGTAAGTGAAAGCATTTTGTGTGAAAACACAAATTTGTAAACACTTTGCCCATAACATTCAAGCTTGAGCCCATACGACCATTACATTTTACTGCATTATTACACTTTGCCTGATTAAACTCCTCAAATCCAACACATGGCACATTGTAAAATTAAACATGGTTTGATATTATTCATATTTAGGGGACCTGGCCTTCCACCATTTAAGTAGGTAAGACATTTTATTTATATAACATTTCTCAAAACCAGGTTTACAAAGTGCATTATACAGACAAAACAGAATGTTAGGGGGACAATTTGGCTTAAGGATAAGTTTAGGCAAGTGGCTGAGATTAAAGTAAGTCTCCAGGAAATTAATGTATGTCAGTGTAGAGGATTTAAAAACAAGTGTGTGTGTGTGTGTGTGTCTGAATGACGTTTTAATGTGCCACTTCTGCCGGCTACTGACAAAATCCCTCGAGAGGTGAGTCAAATGGAAGGCATTGTAAAACTTTGATATCATGTCACGTACACACACACCAATGACTTTTATTCAAATCCATTCAGACAGCTGATCAGCATAACAGAGCGAACTTCCCTGCTGGGATTAAAACAGCTGACAGCAGCATGTGTGTAGACATGAATAAATAAAGGAGTATTTCATGGGTTTTTTACATATTAAAGTGATTCTCCAAACAAAACCTATGAGTTTACACTCTGGCTGTAAAATGTTATGAATTTACTCCTTTATGAACAATAAAGTTCAGGAATAATACATTGCTATAGCCGATATTCAGACATGCACAAAATCCATTTTTCTTTTCTTCCTTCATTTATAAAATTCTGAGATTAAGTTGATCTCAGACTTTACATTTCAGTTAGCGTGATACTTCAAAATAAGCTATCCAAATTCAGACCCGCTACCTTCTGCCTACTGTTTATGCTGTAAAATATGACTAGCGTTTGTTCTGAACTCAGTGTTGTGTTCTCTGTACGGTTACTGCTGATACATAAATGCACTGAACTATTCAAAGCATGTAATATTTTTTATATCATTTAATGAGCTTTTCAACTACACCTTTACTCTGTTTTTTAAAATCTGTTATTCATGTAAAGTGAGTCAGAAACAGTCACTGCTGTGCCTGCACAAAAATACTGGACAAACCCTGTATTGATTCAACATGGCACTGAGCTGTTTATTTATCAACACAGGACAATTCCATATTGTCAGTAACTTGTGTCAACTCTAAGTCAGACTTTGGAATTTTTGGACAGAAAGGACATTTGGGGGTTAAGACTTGGTTTTGGGGTTATGTGTAGAATTAGATTTAGGTTCGTGTTAGAGTAAAAATTGGAATTAAACACTTGTGATGGTTAGGGTGAGGGGCTTAGGAATACATTATGCCAATAAGGGTCCTCACAACTATAGAAGGACCACATAAAACTACAATGCATTACACATTCCTGAACTTCATTGGATGAAGTTGGAGTTAGTGTAGTGTGAAGTCTGACACTGGGACATATAACTGCTTCCATTTGTGCTTTTTAATCTGTTATACCCCAGTTCTTTAATTGGATAGATCTGAATAACGAAGGAGTCCGTCTTTCTTCATTTTAGTGCTGATTTATTTTAAATCACAATTAAAGATTACAGAACACAACCCGGGTGGCTCCCTGCTCCAGACAAGCTGCTGGAAGAAAGGAGTTCCCGGAAACACAGAGCCTAATACATTTATAAGTTTTTGGGCTAACCCCTTACACAGACAGATATAAAAACATCACGAGTTGGAGACAGTCCGGTGTTGTGTGTGTGTGTGTGTGTGTGTGTGTGTGTGTGTGTTGTCACGTGGTGCTTAGCTAAGGCATTCATTCAGACATAATATTCTAACACAAGATTTAATACAAAAAAACAAATTGGTATCATGGTACACTTTTCAGAATCAACATTCTATCTGTCAACCTTGAAACAGAGCAGACTTTGAATCTTACTAAACTGCACAACTAATACATTTAATTCAACACATTAATGTCTAATAATTATCTGACTGATTTACTAATATCTAACAAATCTATCAGTGGTGACAACAGCTGAGCACTGAGATGAGGATGTTTCTAAAGTCATAGGCAGAATGGAAACGTAGGATAAACCCATAAAACGTCCCTCCTGTCTTTCACACTGCGGTTAATCCCTTTAAATCTGCTCCAATTTCCTGCCTCTCCTCTGTTCAGACGCCTGAAGCTCCTACATCTCCACCTGCAGCTCCTTAAATCTCCTCCAATCCCCTTAACTTCTTCAGACAACAGACAGGACATTCAGGAACCGGTAGAGATTTTGAGCAGAGGTTTAAATCTTTTCTTCATGAAGTGGCAGAAAGAAATGTTCCATAATATCTTGAGGAATTTGTCGGTCCAATCAGAACTTAAACCAGTTGTTAGCCTATATGGGGTGGCTGCATAACAAAGGGGAGATTACAGCCTGATACGAAGCCCCCCAAACCTCTACACAAAAGCCCTGATTTCCATCCACTTCTCCTCCTCTTCATCTCCTCTCCCTCTGCTTCATTTCTTGTACTCCTCTTCAGTAGCATGGCTGAAGCCTTGCTTTGGCCTTTTGTAAAATTGAGGCTAACTAAATGCAGCTAGCCAGACGGGCTCCATTAGGTGGAAAGTAAATTTATTCAACTACTGTAAAACTCTGAGAACTTTACTTGAGTAATGTAAATGTATTTTGTGCCACTTTACAATTGTACTTTACTACATTTCAGAGGCATATTGTTGTACTTTTTACTGTACTACATTTTCTGACATCTTAAACAATTTCACATTTCAGATTTGTTAGTTCCTCTAAATTCCTCACGTGGCTTCATTTCAAATGATCATTTCAACTTAACTAATCTTTTATTAAAAGCAAAGATTAGCGAAAAGTCCAAACACTCAAATCAGATCCTCTTCTCTCCAAACATTTTTATGCCACCATTGGATGTCACTGTGTCTCCTCTCTCCCATAATGTCCTCTCTCTCTCCTCTCCCTGTAGCTTTCTGCAGGTATCCCTGGCTCCAGAGTATTTGTTTTTGATGAACAGTCACCAGCCACATTAACCTGCTCTTTTTGTTTATTTGTTCATTGCTTTTTTGTTGTGTACTGATGCTTTTCTGTCTCCTCTATCCACTCACCCTAACCATTGTTGAACCGGGGTCTGTCGGAGGTTTCTTCCGTTAAAGTTGTACCTCTTGTGCTTGCTCAAGGGGGAGTTGTTGGGTTTTTAATACTCTAAGGACTAGAACTTATGTAAAGCACCCTGAGATGACTCTGTGTTCTGATTTGGTGCTATACAAATCAAATTTAATTGAAATTGAATAGTATCTGAATATAGTTTTTTCTTCTTCCAGTGACCAAACCCCCCAGGGTGGAAACCACTAGACCAAAACTACACAGCTTTTTGTGCCAAAGTTTTTTTTAAAACCTCGTCTGGTATTTATATCTTTTGCTTGTTGTTTGATCTGTTAGACTTGTTTTTAGTGATGCAACACTACAGCAACATTACCGATACAAATGTGACTAAACTACAAACACTACATGAGCAGTTACTTCATTTTTTTTATGTATAATAGTTATTTCTATTCTGCTTGTTAATTATAAAGCTGTGAGTTGTAGCAGTTGGTAGGCTGACAGACTGCAGAACAACAGCTAACGTGTTTGTTTAAGATAAGGGAAACACAGCTGATAATCAATTCAGGCCTCGTCAATAACCTCTGGAGATAAGAGAGGTGGAGTGAACAGCTCCCACTGAAAATACCTACAGATAAAACCCAGTCTGAAGGCCAGAAGGAATGGCTGAAAGTTCCAAATGTTTATAATAATTACTTTGAAGTATTATTTGCTCATATATATGTGGGTTTTTTTATATTCAGGAGTTTAACTTACTTTCAGCCTCGTATTTGTTTTCAGTGTGTTCATCCAGAAGCAATAAGTGTTTTCACAGCATAAACATAAATCTTAGGCAAAAGAGCAGTAAATAATAAACACATAACACGTATGTTTTTAATTAAGGGACAAACAGTCACATCAGCTCAGTTTGTGCAAACAGACAGAAGACGCAAAGTTCAAAACAATACTTCTCGCTTCTTCTTTTACAAAGAACAAAATCAGCTGACATCAGCTACAGGTGTGGAAATTACAAAAAAAAAACAGTTTCACAAAAATCTCAGACATTGGGTTCATCAAGACATGGACACAGATTAGATTCCATTGGAGGGAAGCGTTTTAAGAATTGGACAGTTTGGACAAAAAAAAAAAAAAATCACTGCTGATTAGCTTTAGAGGTAATTGGAGGTATTAAAATCTACATTAATATTTACTGACATTCAGCGCTGAATCCTAAATTGTTAAAACGTAATACTGTTGTCCAGATGTTTACACTTAACACCTCTAAAAACAAAGTGGAATTGGTTCAAATGCGCTTTTTTAAAGAACTGATCAGTCAAATGAGTTCACTAAATTCTTGAAAAAAATTGGTTTGATGGTTTAAACACATTCAGCCTTCGGTCCCCACACATTTCATAGTCAGCCTTCAAAGGATTTGGTGCCTGACACAGCTATGAGCAGCTTAGTCTCGTGCAGCTTCTGTGTGTCCCCAAAATATTTTCAACCAGCTGAGTTTAAAATTCATTAAATGTCTAAGGACAACTGAAAGCAGCAGGTCTTCACTTGAGAAACCACAACTCCTGATGTCAGTTTACTCCTCTTGTACCGTAGCAGTTTGAAAACATCCAATAAACAGTTTTTAAAAGCTTATGAAGCTCAGGTTGGGACAGAAACAAGTCAACAGCTCAGTATTTCAAACGAGTCCAGAGGTTTCAGTCCAGCAGCTGTTTTCAGCACCGTCAGAGGCACAGGAGCAGAAGAAGAAGCAGCGACGCATACACGGAGCAGCTGGTCTGAACTGTGCCGACAGCTGATGAACGATACCAACGCACCTCCTCCGAGTCATCTGGGAAGCAGAGGAGGGGAGAGGAAAATAATCAAGGACTGGTTCAAAATTAACTGTGTCCTCCACTGAATTATCAATTATACACATGTTTTCATATCTCCCTCTATTTGTGACATTTTATTAAAATCAACAGACTTTTGTGGTCACTCCTACTGTGTATGTAGTATTTAATACTCTGCACATGGTATTCTGCTTTCTTCTGAGAAGGCCACAGCACATGAGTCACGTCATTTTCAAACTCATCAGATGATACGGTGACCCCTCCTGTGGGGTCACTGTCATCTTGAAAGAGACAGCTCATTTATTCAGGTGTTAGGTATTTTTAGTCAGATAGAAATTGGATAGGTACTTTATGTATTAGAAATGTTTAGTGGAGATAGGATGTCTAGTTAGACTGTTAAATGCTTAGGCCTGCTTATGAGTTTCTACAGGGTACATCCGGTCAAGGATAACTAGAGAGAAGAGTTGATGACTGTCAGTAGACAGGATGTTTAATATTATTATTATGACGTGTATAACTGTAGCCTTAGCCATAATATGTTCTTATGTTTAATGTCATGACATGTCACTAGAGGTCGTGTGAGAATGGTTTTAGCTACACACCACTTAATCAACAGACAATCACACATTGATCTTCTTCATGTTTTGACTACTGCTCTGGCGAGCTGCATAGGTGGCACATCAGGTGGCGTCACGGTTTGACGTTCCTGTGTAGTATGGGGCTAGCCCAACCGAGGGGATATAATGTACAGGCCTGGTGGGTTCAGGGTCTTTCGTCTTTCATCTGCCTGTGAGCCCTTTGGAGGTGCAAGATATCTGAGCGTGTAATGTTAATTTTACCTGTGATCCTTTGAATAAATCATGATCCTTTGAATAAATCAGCACTGTTTTGAAGTTACTTGGACTGTCTCGTCTCTCAGAGTTAGCATGGTAAAAAGAACTGACTAACCCTTCACAGGGTTTCCTTTCATTTGGCACTGTCTCTATATGGTAGTCTAATGTACTGGCCCTATGTAAAATCACATTCATTGACAGAATCTTATTTAATGTTAGACAACCCTGCGTTTGTTTCATCTAAAGGACATTTAACTCTGATTAGAAAAATGCATTAGCAATAGTTTCTTCTCTTCCTCCTCCCAAAAACAGCTGTTCCCATTAACTTGTTTTTGAGTGGGGTTTGATACCAGCATGTCATCAGAAGAGTTTTTAATTACTCAAGGTCCCTGGAGCATTTGTTGCTGCTTATACAGCTTATTAAAATGGAAATATGGCAATTGTTTATACTCCCTCACTCTAAAAACAGTTAAGTAAAACCCTGTTTGTGGGTTAGAAAAAAAGACAGATTATTGTGGACATTAAAATAGCTTCACTGCTGTGGGATGTTTGTGCGAGGTGTTAATTGTTGTTGAGAATGTTTTATATTTTGGAACAAACGCCTTTCTTTTATTCCAAAATAAAAGTGCAGATGAATAGGTAAGGCTTGTGGCTGTTCAAAGGTGCATTCATACACAGGGGGAGTCTGCTGTGAACGCCTGGGTGAAAAGTGTGAACGACACAGTTTCTGTTCAAACGTCTGGCTCTCAGGAGTCAATGGCTCGTCCACACCCTCAGTGAAAAAGTTGCCTTCCATTTACCTGAACAACACCTCTGCTGGTGCATGGAAATATACTATCTCACAGGGAAGTGCTAGATAATCTGAGGAGCTTACTCCAAACTCCATTAGCATATGATCACAAAAATCCCCACCATGCAGAACGTTTCAAATCACTGCAAAATGTCTAGAGTAGGTGAAATGTGTCTGGTGGGTGCAAAGTGTGTCTTACCACAGTCTTTATGGAAGATGTGGGGGAAGCACTGGAGGATGCCGTAACCACAGCGACAGTAGGAACAGCCCTTCTGAACCCACTCACCATGTGGAATCAAACCACAGCTCCTACAGAGAGATGGACAAGATATAATTTACAACATTACAACAAAGCTGCATTTTTTTGTCGGTGTTCCACAGATATGAACCATGCTGATGGGACACTGTTTCAAATGCCCAGACTAAATCCTTAAGTCAGCAAGAGGCCTCAAGCAGACTGACTTCACCCAACTTTGCTCCGGATAATCGTTTTTGCTGTATACGTTTCTACTGAGGGGCAGCTGTCGCCTCACAGCAAGAAGGTTCTGGGTTAGAGCCCTGGCGGACCAGAGACCATTCTGTGTGGAGTTTGCATGTTCTCTCTGTGTCTGCGTGGGTTCCCTCGAGTTATTCCAGCTTCCTCCCACAGTCCAACAACATGCCACTTAGGTTGATTGGTGACTCTAAATTGCCTGTAGGAGTGAGTGTGAGTGTGTGTGGTTGTTTGTCTACAAGTCAGCCCTGTGATAGACCAGTGACCTGTTCAGGATGGACCCCGCCTCTCACCCAGTGACAGCTGGGATTGGCTCCAGCCCCCCCCGTGACCCTATTCAGGAATAAACCATATAGATAATGGATGGGCTGATGGACATTTCTAATAAGGTGTCATACTGCACCCTGGCAGACCTGATGTGATGACAGTGAAGATGCTGCCGTACATATGACAAAAGTCTGTGAGAAGGCAGACCTGATGTGATGACAGTGAAGACGTTGCCATACATATGACAAAAGTCTGTGAGAGCTCCACAGGGCTGGAGACTTTGACATTCATGCACCAGTGTTCCCATCATGCTTTGGGGGATACAAATTAGCTTAGCCCTGTTGTTCTGAATTTCTTTATATTTTGGCAAATTGCTGCAGAAGCTTCCTGTTTGCACTGCAATCATGGAAACAGACAATCAGCTGGATTACTTTTTATTACTGCAGAAAACATCTAAACAGGGCGAAGAGATGTTGCACCAGTTCCAGCAGTATGCGTGTGATGTGATGTCTGTGTTTTCTGGTTGGATTAAGTAATGACCTTGAGAAGAAGAGGGCTTGTGACAGTTCACTTGAACTTCAATGACCAAAATCTCACCTGAACTAACCCCTCCCCCCTTCCCAATTTGTTGTAAAGCATTTCCGTTAATGGCTGAACTAAACAATATCTCTGATGACAAGAGCCACATTACAAACTGAATGTGAGAGCAGCAGGGTGCTGCTGTGTTGTCTTCTTGTGGTTCACCTGATGCGCTGGTCATACTCGCAGTTCCGTCCGGTGAAGAACGGAGGACACGCGCAGAAGCTGCCCAGGATACACGTTCCTCCATTCTTACAGCAGCTACGACTCTGCTCCTTCCCTACAAGAAAACATAGAGACACACATCACACGCTGACTACATCTACAGTGTTTCCTTCAGGCAGACGTACACAGACAGCAGAATCATAAAACACTGCTTTATTCTCACAGTTTAAGTCATTTCCTGTGAGATCAATCCTCACTTAACTCCAGACTATGGTGTCAAACCATTATGACAACTCAAACAGAGGCTTCCACATTTCAGACACGAACTCTGATAAACAGAATCCATTTCCTACAGTAGATTACAATCAACCAGCAGCAGGGAGGTCAGAGGTCACAGAGAGGGCTTCTCAGCCTTGTAGCAGCCTCTTGCATAAAAAATGTTTACATTTAATACCAGATTGGTTTTTTTTCTACTTCTTTTGTTTGATTCTTTCAGTTGCATTTTCTGTGTTTTATAACTTACTTTGTTTTTCTCTCCATGTATTTGTTCCTGTTGTCTTGAGTTTTTATTTTATTCTTGATCTAATCCCAATGGATCTGAGGTCTGATGCCTGTGAAGTTTATTATGACTTTTATATTATCTATATGGGTTTTAATTGATTGTTCAGAGGCTTTATGTCCCTAGGAGACAATCTGAAGGCCAATACAGGGTCCTCCAGGTTGAGCCTCTCGCTGCCTGTATCTGTGAAACAAACCAGAGTCTCCATCTCACAGCACATTCCTGCCATTCTCTGCTTCACATCAGCAGACAAACACTGAGAGTAGCAGCAAACATCTGAAAATAGCAGAAAAACACTAAACTGACAACAAAGCATCCAGAGACTCTCCGTCATCTGTCAGTCTCTGGAACCTGAACCATTTTATGTAGCAGTTTTTCTGGGACTATATATTCATTTACATCTTAATCTTATTTACTTTAAATAGGCTAAATCTGTTAGTGCTGTGAAACATTTCTATATTTTTCCAATGCATATTGACTCATTTTCTAGTTTACTTTGTCTCATTATAATGCATTATAATTCTAGTCCGGTGTCAGGCCTGCAGCCAGGATTCTAGAAACAGTGGGTTCATGAGTCCAAGCTGCCCCAAACCTCCTGAACATTTGAAAGATGAAAATTCTGTTAAAATGTTCATTCATTTGCCAATTTTTCTTTCTGTAATTCATTCACTTTTTTGCAGCATTTCCCAGAGTTGCTCGACGTGACATACTAAAAGAGTTTTAGCTGTGGGAACATTTGTTAAAATGATTGCAGTTACAATTTCTTCTTCTGTTTTTCTTTATAGAGGCAGCATCTCACAAATGACCAGTGTTCCAAAATACATCAGTGTTCCATGAGCTTTAAATCTCCATATTCACCCATTCCCAAAGCTCTAGAAACAAGTGGAATATGGTTGGAAACATTCTTTCCAGCATTTAGGCATGTTAGTGGTTTGTCTCCATCTCCATCTATGCATACAGCAACAAAGTGTGCACTTACTGTCAGTGAGGCCGATGAAGGGCAAGACGGCACCGGCGTCACGGTGTTTACGGTCCCCACTGTTTGGTGAGCTCACCTGGGTAAAGTGACCCAGGAAATCCTGAGATGGTTGCTGGGAAGAAGATGAGGTTGAGGCCGAGGAGGAGGAGGAAGAGTTCTGGCTTTCGTTGCATTCATCTCATTAAAACTTCTTCCTCAAACAAAGATGAAACTGGTGGGGGCATTGTCTTTATCAAAGCAGGTTGTTCCACTAACATCTGTATTAAATCAATGGACGAGCAAAGTGAGGTCGGCTCTCCTCCTCACCCACCCTCTCTTTCCTGCCCACTGGTTTGGCAGGTTTTAGCTCACTTTGAGTGATCCATCAGAATCACCACAAGCCTGCACTGATTTTTAATTAAACTTGTTTTTGTAAGGTAAAGCAACACACTTCTGAATTTGATCTGCAGTACCATGCAAACATCACACAACAAAAGTACATCCCAATTTTTTTTTAAATGTAATTTCACATTTTATATATAAACGTATGGAAAAAGTACCAAAACTGACCCCAGTCAGTGACTATGTTCACATGACGTTGCAGATACACTAAATCTATTCAGAACTGGAATCAAAATGTAGATGTTTATAGATTTGGATTGTGCTACAGATTCTGTTTCACTCACTCTCTGCAAGAGACAAGGTGTTTCTGAATAAACAGACTTAACTGAAACATTTTTAAAAAAAAAAATTCCTCCACATTTGATAGTTTCACATCAAATTAAATCCTGAACTCCACACACAGGAGACTGACGCTTGTGTGTGGTGTGATGAACTGACCTGAAGCAGCAGTGCAGTGGAGCCAGATCCCTGCCCACAGCAAAACCCTACAAAACGTCCAAACCATGAACTTATTATCAGACTAACTCACAACCGCTGCAAAATATTTAACAGCTACTTCACAGACTGAACAACGCTGTCACAAAGAACAGCTACTGTTGTTCAAGTGTAAAGCTCCAGACTCACCTGAGCAGCTGCGTCCACTTCATTTTAACGAGAGATGTGGGAGTGAAAAATCCCCAAATTCTTTATGGACTTCAAGTCTGACCTCAGTAGAATTTTCGAAATGAATACAAATACACAAAGAACCCTGATAAAGAAACGCCCAAACGTCCCCGAGACAAGCAGTGGAAAAACGTCACGAACAAATTGTTCCCAAAACTCTCAGTTTGGTGTTCTCCCCAGTCAGAAAACTGTCCGTAAATGAAGCTCCTTCGCTTACCCCACCGCCAGTTTACAGAGAAAAGGTCTCGGGGTTGTTTTAACAAGACACTGGAGAAACAGAATTCGTATAAACCCAGTAAACCACCGCTCAGTCAGCGCGCTCAGCTCCAAGCAGCGTGCGTCTGCTGTTTGGATCCTGACAAACGGAGTCTGTCGCCCAGGTGAGTTTCATCCAGGGGGGAGGGGGGAGGGCCTCAACACCCCACACCCCCACACCTCTGTCTGGGGTGTCCACAGGAAAGCGAACTATCTACAGAAGATCTACTTAAACATTTATTTATTTATTTATCCATATGCTAAAAATGTTCTTAACCCAAGGTTCTGTACCGGAAACAAATTCCTTGTGTGTAACATACTTGGCCAATAAAGGTGATTATCCTTATCCTTATCCATAAGGAGTTTGTACTTAAAAAAAATTACTGAAAGTAAATATAAAGATTTTTCATTTTCAAGTTCGTTTGATTTTACTGGCATAAGAGGTTTTTCTAAATAGTTATAGTAAATTAAAACGTATTTTTAAAAGAATTTTAAAAAATGTTTTCCTGGTGCTTCTCTTGCTGTTTCTCACCCCCAGCCCCCTTTCTCGGTCTCTCTCACTGATACACATGGTTATCACTCACCCATCAGTCCTGCCTTCACATGCTAATAGACCTGCTGGTGGAGGAAATCCACCTTTAAGGAAACGTGCTCCTCCTTTTACACTGCTGACAACAAGAAGAAGCTTTATCTGAAAGCTCTGTTTTACTGTAAGTTTCCCACATCGGCCTGTTAACAGCATAGTGGTACAAACCCCTCCCCTCCAACTCCCTTCCTTTTTTTCCATACTTATATTTCCTGTTGCATGAAATAAACAAATATACAAAATCTACAAGAAGAAAAATGAGAGAAGAGAAAGGAAACTTGCAGTATGTATACTGAGGTCTACTGAGCTGTCACACGTTCAGTATGTTTTTATAAGAATTAGGGACAGTTAGCGGCCTGTGGTCTATTTTTTACTGTTAAAATATATGCAGGGTGATATTTCACAGGATGATTACAGTTTTTTAGACTGTAGAATTTACCTACTTTAAGCAGAACAACCTAAATACATAATAAAAAAAAGGATTCAGGTCTCCACCAGAATTTAGTCACTAGTGAGAGCAAAGAAACAGCGTGGAGACATTTAGGTTGGAAAAAACAACACTTTGCATTATTTACTAGGTCTGTTTACTAGTTATGTCATAGGAATGGTCCTGGGAAGAACTTGGTAATTTGGTGCTAATTACAAGGGAAACACAGACAAAATTAATTTAGTTGTGTTAAAATTATTTTTCAAATCAAATATATGCTCAGCTAACTCAATAACAACAACAATAAAAAAAAGTCCAAATAAATAAAATGAAGACTTTTAAAACTATAAATAGAAGAATATCAGCATGTGAAAGAACATAACAGGTTTCCTCAGTCTGCATGATGCAGGGTTTAAATTTTAATATTATTCAACATTATATTACATTAAATGTTGCCCAGATCATTACCAGATTGTAGTTTTTGTTCCCTGGGTAAAACTGTACTTTCTGTCCACAGAAACTGGCATGGCCAGTATTTGCCTTACAGAGGGAGGTAAAAGGTTTTTACCAATAAATTGGGGTACATTTTTCATTTTTCTCCACCTGTTCTGCTGTTAAATGATATAATACTTCTCCCATTTCTTTATTTATTTTTTATTATATATGGGGTTCGGGTGTGGTCTAGAATATTTACATTTTCTACATTTTGGATGTATTTAAACAATTTCATCTGTTGTTAATACTAAAAACTGACTTTAAAAAGATGAGAGAGAGATGGGTGAGCTGTGTGAAATAAGAGGTCCAAAACATTCAGTTTTTGTTATAATTTCTTTTTTGGTCTATTTGTATCTTGGAATCTGGACTGAAAGTTATCCTCCCCCATCCAGCTGTGGTAATCTGCCTCTGCTTTGACCACAGAGGGACAATCAGAAGTGGAAATGGGTATTTTGTAATCTGTGCAGCATAACAATGCAGTCTGAGCTCACGCTAATACACAGCAGGAGAGTCAGCAGCAGGAGGGAGAACCTGATCTGAACACAACAGGAAATCTGCAAGTGAAAGCTCCCAGAATGCAACAGGAGGAAGACACAGCAAAGCCCCATGATGATGCAAAGAGACCAAGTCTGTCTCCGAGCCTGTCTTTCCCCCTTAACTTTAACACTTTTGCTAAAAAGATTCTGATCAGAGATAATCGTCACACAATCTTATGAACTGAAAATGTATTAACATTTTAAGGACCGCCCTGGTCGTGTCTCATCTCGGAAGCTAAAAGCAGAGTTAGGCCTGGTTAGTACTTGGATGAGGGACGCTAGTGCACTCCATGTGCCGGTCCCAAGCCTGGATATAATGGGAGGTTTGTGTCAGCAAGGGCATCCAGCATAAAACCTGTGCCAGTTCACATATGCAGATCACAGTAATCTGCAGTGGTGACCCCCAACTGATGGGGAGAAGCTGAAAGAGGAGGAACAACAACAACATACTTTCAGAAGAAAGAAGAAACTTTTGATTGGGCAAAAAGACACTACTGGAATGAGAAGTAAATGAATTTTACATTTTTGTTTGTGTTTGGGTGAAATAAAGATTTGGCTCCACAGAGTGAAACACCTTTGACTCCTAACCAGTCAGTTAGAACTGAAGAAACCTTTTGGATGAAAGGTGAAACATCCTGTGGTGACTGTGGATCTCCACAGACCTAAAATACTCATACTGTTCATTACACCCAGACATTTCCAGTGTGTTTGTACAAGAGGAGGCAGAGAGATGGAAAATATCCACTGTTTCAGAAGAAACAAAAAAGCAATGAGGAGATCTGTGCGCTGAGCTCCACAGAGCCTCAGGCTGAGAGGAGACAGCTCTGTGTCTCCCTCTAGCGGCTGATTCACCAAATACATTCAACATAAAACTGAGCAGAAGTCAAAATGGGCCAATGAGGAATCAGCAAGCCACTGAGTCTCCTGTGAATGCTGAGGTTACTGTAGCATGCAAGAGAAGAGCTTACAAAACTGAGCAGAAGTCAAAATGGGCCAAAGAGGAATCAGCAAGCCACCGAGTCTCCTGTGAATGCTTCAGCCCTGAGGTTACTGTAGCATGCAAGCGAAGAGCTTACATGTTGTGTGTTTTTAGCTGCTTGCAAACATTGCTCACCCTGCACTCAGGAACCCCATGACTTGAGTCGAAGGGTGTGTGAAGTGTGGCTTCAGAGAGACAACAGGACTTCTTCAAACTATATGAAATGACACCAATCTGATACAGAACAACCACACCTGAACTCACAACAGACCGGACAGTTATAATTCAGGACTTCAGAATAAGTCACGTGTCAGTCCCCTGTGCAACCGCCTCCTTTTCAACTTATTTTTTTTTAGCACTAGTAGCACTTGTTTTATTCTTAAAAAGCAGAAGAGTACAAATGCTGCTGCATCACATTGATGCACTCATACAAAAGAATCCATGCACATTTTAAAAATAATATTTATTCTAGCATCATTCTACATGGTGACTCCAATGCAGGTCTGAGGTGCTCAGTGGTCGCATGGTGCCACTGTGCACCATTCAGACAACAGGGTGATTTCTTGGACAAGCATGTGTTGTTGTCATTCTGCACTGTGATAGGCACAGCTGTTACAGAGCAGTGGGGCTGGTGATGTGACTGGCCGAGACCATATTCACACCCTTTCGTCTATACACTACTTCACCCAGCCCTTGTGCAGGCTGCGCTGCTGCTCCTACATGAACTTCTTTACAACAGTGCGCTAAAGCTGCACACCATTACACAAACCATTAAGACTATTTCTGCGCTGTCCATCCACATCAGCAAACATGACATTTTCTCATTGCATGTTTTTCACTTTTCATTTCGAATGCTGTTCCTCCATTTTTATGTGTGGGCGTTTGGAACTACTATAAACAGTTGCAGTGTGGTTGGAGAGTACATCATATGAACCAGTTCTTCTCTGCCATAAGCTGCCCTTTAGTGATAAAATATCTTAAACTACTGAATCTTAAATTGACAAAAGTTGGGTCAAAATCAGGAGCCATGTATAAGTAAGAAGATTATGAATCTTGTCAGACCATCACAGTGCCCACTTTGAGGTCCAGTATTTTTAAAAATGTGGGCATGCTTTACATCTTTGAGCTATGAAAAAAGTTCACGTTTCCTCCTCCTCTTCTTCTTCCTGAGTGTCGCCTTCCTTTGCCACAGTTGTGTTCGTCTTCCAGCTGAGGGTCCACTCACTCTTTGGCATACCATCTTCTTCGTGAATTAGTCCCAGGTATCTCTGACTTCGGTGCTCAGTGGAGAAACACACCACCTCATCCTCGTCTGGCTTCTTCCAACGACAAATCCTCCATGACTCTTTCCATGCCCGCCACTCCACTTCATCTTTTGCCTCATCTTCCTCCTCTTCACCTTCATCTCCTCCTCTGTGAGCTACTGCCACCATCCATGACTGCTTCCAGGAGGAGAAGGTGGTGTTCAGTTTATGGAACTGCAGGTGGAGCAGGACACAAGGTTGGAGTCGGACTTGTTTCCCCAGCTTCTTTCCATCCTTTTCCTTTTCTGCTTTGTTGTCCTCTTTCTCGTCCACACTCTCAGAGCCGTCATCCTCCTCTGTGTTGACCATCACCTCGTCTTCTTCATCAGTCTCCTCCTCCTCCTCCTCCCCTGCCTCTTCATCTTCCTCCTCCTCTTGTTCATCCGCTTCATTGTCTTCTTCTTCTTCATCTGTTTCTTTCTCCTGGTCTTTGTCCACTTCATCTTCTTCCCCCTCCTCCTCAGCATCATCCTCGCACTCATCTTTCTCAAAAAAACCATTTTTCACTTCTTTGTCTACTTTGTCCTCCTCTACCTTAATTTCCTCTTCCTGTTCTTTGTCTGCTTCTTTATCATTGCCCTCTTCTTCCTCCTCAACATTATCCTCGTCCTCATCCATCTCAGTGACTTCCATTTTTATTTCCTTGTCTTCCTCCTCCTGAGCTTTCTCTCCCTGCACTTTGTCTGCTTCATCATCAATGTCCTCTTCTTCCTCTTCCTTTTCATCCTCATCCTCAATATTATCCTCATCCTCATCTGTCTCAGTGACTTCCATTTTCGCTTCCTTGTCTTCCTCCTCCTGAACTTTCTCTCCCTGTGGTTTGTCTGCTTCATCATCATTGTCCTCTTCTTCCTCCTCCTTCTCATCCTCATCCTCAAAATTATCCTCATCCTCATCTGTCTCAGTGACTTCCATTTTCGCTTCCTTGTCTTCCTCCTCCTGAACTTTCTCTCCCTGTTGTTTGTCTGCTTCATCATCATTGTGCTCTTCTTCCGCCTCCTCTTCTTCTTCCTCCTCCTCATCCTCATTATTAGCCTCATTCTCATCTGTCTCAGTGACTTTCTTTTTCAATTCTTTTTCTTCCTCCTCCTGAACTTTCTCTTCCTGTTCTTTGTCTACTTCATCATCATTGTCCTCTTCTTCCGCATCCTCTTCTTCTTCCTCCTCCTCATCCTCAATATTATCCTCATCTGTCTCAGTGACTTCCGTTTTCACTTCCTTGTCTTCCTCCTCCTGAACTTTCTCTTCCTGTTCTTTGTCTGCTTCATCATCTATCTCCTCCTCCTCCTGGACATTATCCTCATCCTCATCTTGCTCAAAGACTTCATTTTTCACTTCTTCATCTTCCTCCTTGTGTACTTCTTCATCCTCCTCTTCACTGCTGGCTTCTTCATCCTCTTCTTCCTCAGCTACTCCCTCATCCTCTTCATCCTTCAATTTGTTGTCTTCCTTCTGCTCTTCTACTTCTCCATCCCCCTTCTCACTTTTGACTTCTTTGTCCTCCTCATTCTTGATGACATCTTCCTCCTCCCCCTCCTCCTCCTCATCCTCCTCCTCATCATCATCATCAACTCCTTCATCCTTCTCCTCCTCATCTACTCTTACATCCTCCTCACTGTTCAGCCCTTCATCCTCCTCCTCTGAGTCATCATTCATCTCCACAACATCTTCCTCTTCTTCTTCCTCCAGTTCATCCTGCTGTGTTTCAACTGAACTTTTAGGAGTCCTCCATGCCTCTGTCCACCCTGTGCTATCTGTGACCTCATCATCCAGCTCTGATGCGAGGAGGATGTTTGTGTTTTTACGTTTCTGCATCAACATGGTGCTGTGTTGATGTTGGAACTCCAGTGAGGCCTTGCACCACCTGTAGACATAATTTCTTTTAGTAAGATCAGCTCAGTGAACTGCTGAAAATTTGAGCATGAACATTCATTCAATTCAATATTCCACCAATTACTGATTTATAATGTTACTTGTTAATTGTGTTAAATAAACTATATTACTGCTTTGCAAGTATGACTTTGTTTCAGTTAAGAAATGTTGCTTGTAAGGAAAAAACCTGTTTCTTTCAACCACTTACCTTAACCACATTCTTATCCAAAACAGGATTTTTCTCTCCCTAACCAAGTAGTTTTTATGCCAAAACCAAACCAAATCTAAAAATAGAGCTGTCAGATCATAAAATATGTGTTGTCCTGCCAGAGGGGCATCAGATCAAAAAACACGTGTTGTTTTGGAGAGTAGCAGGAAGCAATGTGGACGTCTGATATTGGCTTTTTACAGATATAGGTATCATCATACATCCAGCCTGGTTGGCTCGTGGGACACCTGAGGCAGCTGATGGGTACCGGCAGGCCAAGTGGACTGCAGCCCGGGTGGTTGTGGAGGCAAAAACTTGGGTCTGGGAAGAGTTCGGTGAGGCCATGGAGAGGGACTATCGGTCGGCCTCAAAGAAGTTGTGGCAAACTGTCCGGCACCTCAGGAGGGGGAAGCAGTGCCCTGCCAAAACTGTTTACAGTAGAGGTGAGCAGCTGTTGACCTCAACTGGGGACATCGTCGCATCGTCGTACTTTGAGGATCTCCTCAACCCCAGCATCATGTCTTCCGATGAGGAAACAGAGGCTGGGGGTTCAGAGGTGGACTTGTGCATCACCCAAGCTGAAGTCACCAAGGTAGTTAAGAAGCTTCTCGGTGGCAAGGCACCGGGGATGGATTGGATCCGCCATGAGTACCTTAAGTCTCTGGATGTTGTGGGGCTGTCTTGGCTGACATGCTTCTGCAACGTCGCATGGCAGTTGGGGACAGTGCCTCTGGACTGGCAACCAGGGTGGTGGTCCCTCTTTTCAAGAAGGGGGACCGGAGGGTGTGTTCCAACTATAGGGGGATCACACTCCTCAGCCTCCCCAGGAAAGTCTATGCCAGGGTACTGGAGAGGAGAATTCGACCGATAGTCGAACCTCAGATTCAGGAGGAACAATGCGGTTTTCGTCCTGGCCGTGGAACACTGGACCAGCTCTATACCCTCTTCAGGGTGGCGGAGGGTTCATGGGAGTTTGCCCAACCAGTCCACATGTGTTTC